CGCTGAGTGCCTCTTCGTGGAATGCAGTCACCAGTCTTAATATCTCGATGGCAACACACACTTAAAAGATGCATACATCAAGAAGTATACATAAGGGAGCGTGACGCCACAGGAGCGTGACGCTACAGGAGCGTGACGCCAGAGGAGCGTGACGCCAGAGGAGCGTGACGCCAGAGGAGCGTGACGCTACAGGAGCGTGACGCCAGAGGAGCGTGACGCCAGAGGAGCGTGACGCCAGAGGAGCGTGACGCCACAGGAGCGTGACGCTACAGGAGCGTGACGCCACAGGAGCGTGACGCCACAGGAGCGTGACGAAACAGGAGCACATCGACAAGATAAGGTTGGTACCATACACGAAATTGGGTCCTACGTCCTAGGCTCACAATCGAGGGACCCCGAGTTCAATCCCCGGGGACAAATTGTTTGCCATGTTTTCTTTCGCCTGTTGCCTCTGTTCACCTATCGTTAAGACTAGTACCTGGGAGTTGATCTAGGGGAACATTTCGATAAGCCTAAGAACAAAGTTCATTTTCACTACAATGATAATTAAATATCTTGGTAGCCTTCGTATCGCTATTCACAACGTACGTAAGACTCGCCCTAGATTATGCAGCACAAATAAAAGTAGGAGAGAAGTGGAATGCAATAAGTATTGTCCAGGAACTGTGGGGTAGTGGGTCGGCCGAGCGGACAGCACACTGGACTTGTGATCCTGTGGTCTTGGGTTCGATCCCAGGCGCCGGCGAGAAACAATGGGCAGAGTTTATTTCACCCTATGCCCCTGTTACCTAGCAGTAAAATAGGTACCTGGGTATTAGTCAGCTGTCACGGGCTGCTTCCTGGGGGTGGAGACCTGGTCGAGGACCGGGCCGCGGGGACACTAAAGCCCCGAAATCATCTCAAGATAACCTCTTAAGATAGTGGGACAAGGGTGGAGGAGGCTTGAGACACCTGTGAGTCACCGTCAGCATCTACGAGATGGTACAAGAACTTGACCAACTACGCGCCACTTATGCTACTTTAAGCGAACACTAGGGAAACCCAGGTTCTGAAGCAACCGCATCAGGCTTGGGTTACCCGTGTGTATGGAAAATATTCTGACAGCTTCCTCAAGAGCTGGCATCAGCTTCCAGGTATCAGGCTTCGAACCCCCTCCCTCCCTCGCGCTGAGTGCCTCTTCGTGGAATGCAGTCACCAGTCTTAATATCTCGATGGCCCTTCTGGCGTCACGCTCCTCTGGCGTCACTCTCCTGTGGCGTCACGCTCCTCTGGCGTCACTCTCCTCTGGCGTCACTCTCCTGTGGCGTCACGCTCCTGTGGTGTCACGCTCCTCTGGCGTCACCTTCCTGTGGCGTCACGCTCCTGTGGCGTCACGCTCCTCTGGCGTCACTCTCCTGTGGCGTCACTCTCCTGTGGCGTCACCTTCCTGTGGCATCACGCTCCTGTGGCGTCACCTTCCTGTGGCGTCACGCTCCTCTGGCGTCACTCTCCTGTGGCGTCACTCTCCTGTGGCGTCACCTTCCTGTGGCATCACGCTCCTGTGGCGTCAGCATTGTGAATTAATGACCTGTGGATCACTGTCAGCGTCACAGCAGACCACCAGTGACACTGGATCTTGATCTATCACTACAACAACTAGTAGCAGACGAGTCATAAGCACTCACCCACCGCCTGAGTAATACTCATATGAGCAATACAGGGTCAGCCTGAGTTACTGAGTAAATCAATGAGTTATACGATGAGCCAGTCCAGGCTAATGCTATTCATACTTTTAAAAGAAAATGTCGTAAAAAAAGACTAGTCTAGTGTCATCTAAGTACATTAGATGACACTAGAAAAGGCGGGGGGGGGGGGCCAGGAGCTAATGCTCGAGCCGTCTTGAACCACCCTCATTAAGAACATCAACAGCCCCCCCACCAGAGCTAATCACAGGGCAAATAAATACGAGGATCTTCCTCTAGTGAGCCACAGTGCCTGGCACTCACTGGGGGGAGGGAGGGGGCCCGGGGAATCCAGCCTCGTGCCTCCCTTCGTGGAAGTGCCAGTGACGTCACACAGACTCCCACACTGCCCATCTCAACACGGGTCAAGGAGGTGCTTGGCCCACCCTGGGAGGAGAGGTGGATGCTGCTCCGTGTATGTTGTTCTTATTGTTGTCATTTATTGAGGGTCTCAGAGGCCCTTAGACTCTAAATTAGAGGTACTCTAATTTTCTTTAGAGTACAGAAGAATTACTTTTAAGAGAGTCTAAAAGAAATTCTTTATTGGGGAATCCTTAATTAAGGACCTCGGAGAATCGATTTTGAGAGCCCAGAGAAGTAATTTTAAGAGACCAGGTGAGACTAGTCTTTAAGAGTACAGCAGGTAGTCATTTAGAGAAGTTAGAAGTCTTTTTTTTTTATGTCTAAAGTGCCTGGACCATGGTGAAATATTTACCACTTGCGAGGACCTGACGTGGTGATGTGTTAACCACACCCTCCACACCAGTAATGATCTCCTCCCTCTAAGTTATGAACCAGATATTGAGCATTCTACCGGGGCTCGAACTCACCACCCGGAGAAGAAGCATTATATGGAGCTCAATGTTACAATTCCTCTTATGGAGTTGATAAGTCAACCACGCAGTAACATCAACACATCATCACTACACTACGTAGTAACTAATGACTTCTCCTGCTTGACTTCTCCAAGCAGAAGTCAATTGTTTACGTACAAACGTCACTAGGAGATTACAATTACCGGCATTACACCAAAAATAACGGAGTCTTAAGCAAATTTTATCAATAAAATCAGGCGACATTTACAAGAGCCTTATTAAATTCACGATGGTAAAATACGTGAAAATAAAACGCTTGTTTCCGACGAATAAGAGTTGATCCTAAAGCGCCAATTCACGGCCGAGATAGGCTATTTACCCCCCTAAATTAGCAGGGAAATTGGACATAAAGTAGTTTGAGACAGGCAGGTGAGGCTATACCCCGGTCAGAGAGAGGTTGTTAGTGGAGCAAAATGGCCGCCCCACAACTTCCGGTAGCTTCAAAGGGTTGATCCAATAAGCGTTTCAAAACTTGGAAGAGGTCGGCGTTGAGGTTAATTATGAACTTTGCGCGGGGAATTAATGGTAGACTTGAGGAGTATCTGTTCTCCTGCCTGTGGTTGGTGGAGGGTAGCCTCCCGCTCTTTCCTCCCTCCCTCTCTCCCTCTCTATCTCCCTCTCTCCCTCTCCCTCCAACCCCAACCATCCCTCCCTATCTCCTTCCCCAGTCCTCCCTTTCCTCCTTCCTTGTAACGTGATGACAATGGCAACAAATCAAATGGAATATGAATGAATATAATTAAAAAAATTATAATTTACATTCGCTTGAAAAGTTAAGAGTTCGCTGAGACAAGTTTGAAATATTAAAAATGAATGAAAGAATTTATGAACGATACATAATTAGGATCATAAATATGCTACCGCAAAAAAAAACAGGAAATGGCTACAAATGGAATAGGTTTGATTCAGGAAAGACTTTCATAAAACATTAATATGTTAATAGGATGGTAGATTTATGATACAAATTACTTGGTGGTATAAAAGACATATATATATATATATATATATATATATATATATATATATATATATATATATATATATATATATATATATATATATATATATATATATATATATGTTAAATATGACCGAAAAAGTAAGATTAATTAATAATTCTAACACGAATTTTCTCAATATTTCTTATGTTTCTTTTTACTGTTGATGGTAATTGAAAAATCAAGTCTCCAAATTCATTTTTATTTCTAGTCTGACGCGACGCTTGAACGCGTTTCGTAATAACTTATTACATTTTCAAAGACTTTAGTTTACACACACACAACTGTAACCTGAAAACACTAAACAGAATTTTACTTAATGCTAACATTGAACAGCTTGTCTTATATACTCGCATTTGGGTGAGGTGATATGTTGCAACAGTTTTGGATGAGGTAAACAAACTTTTGACCAACACAAGACAGAACACGGAACAATAGGTATCAATTGGATAAATGAGCGGGAAGAATGGAAGTAACTGCAAAAGGCCTATTGGCCCATACTTCCTCTTGATGCTTCAATATTGGTACGGAGTCTTGAAGTGGGTAGAATATAATTGTGCATTAATTGGCTGTTGATTGCTGGTGTTGACTTTTTGATGTGTAGTGCCTCGCAGATGTCAAGCCGCCTGCTATGGCTGTATCTATCGATGATTTCTGAGTTGTTTCTTGAGACTTCTCTGGTGATGGTCTGGTTGTGGGAAGAGATTATATGTTCCTTAATGGAGCCCTGTTGCTTATTTATGCATTGTTAATCGCCTGGAAAGAGATCTTGTTGTCTTGCCTATATACTGAGTTCTTTGGAGCTTACAGTTCCCAAGTGGGCATTTGAAGGCATAGACGACGTTGGTCTCCTTTAAGGCGTTCTGCTTTGTGTCTGGAGAGTTTTTCATGAGTAGGTTGGCCGTTTTTTTGGTTTTATAGTAAATCGTCAATTTTATCTTCTGATTTTTGTCTATAGGGATAACGTTCCTATCAACGATAGGAACGTTTATATATATATATATATATATATATATATATATATATATATATATATATATATATATATATATATATATAAACTAGGATATAAACTATCCTAGTTTATATCCTAGTTGGGTGGATATAAACACGGGTGGATCTAAGTAAGAACTACTTTGTATGTCTCAAAATGTCTTCTGCAGTTTCCGTTGTTCATGTCTTTTTTTTCGTATGATAAAAACATGCGAGACAGAGATAGACAGGCATCTGGCCTGCGGGGCGCGCCGTCGAGAGGTGAGGGACGGGTGGCAGAGAGACAGACAGACAGACGGGTGCAGGACACAGCACGCTGTTATCTGGAGGTTGGCGGTGGTGGCCCTGGCACCACCAATGATACACTCTGATCACTATGCTACCGGATATCGACCCCAGTTACCATCACTGACTGGGGAATTCATGCGACGACCTGCCACACGACGCCCTGCCACACGACGACCTGCCACACGACGCCCTGCCACACGACGCCCTGCCACACGACGACCTGCCACACGACGACCCGCCACACGACGACCTGCCACACGACGACCTGCCACACGACGACCTGCCACACGACGCCCTGCCACACGACGACCTGCCACACGACGCCCTGCCACACGACGCCCTGCCACACGACGACCTGCCACACGACGACCTGCCACACGACGACCTATCACACGACGACCCGCCACACGACGACCTGCCACACGACGACCTGCCACACGACGACCTGCCACACGACGACCTATCACACGACGACCCGCCACACGACGACCTGCCACACGACGACCTGCCACACGACGACCTATCACACGACGACCCGCCACACGACGACCTGCCACACGACGACCTGCCACACGACGACCTGCCACACGACGACCTGCCACACGACGACCCGCCACACGACGACCCGCCACACGACGACCCGCCACACGACGACCCGCCACACGACGACCCGCCACACGACGCCCTGCCACACGACGACCTGCCACACGACGACCTGCCACACGACGCCCTGCCACACGACGACCTGCCACACGACGACCGGCCACACGACGACCTGCCACACGACGACCTGCCACACGACTACCCGCCACACGACGACCTGCCACACGACGCCCCGCCACACGACGACCTGCCACACGACGACCTGCCACACGACGACCTGCCACACGACGACCTGCCACACGACGCCCTGCCACACGACGACCTGCCACACGACGACCTATCACACGACGACCCGCCACACGACGACCTGCCACACGACGCCCTGCCACACGACGCCCTGCCACACGACGACCTGCCACACGACGACCTATCACACGACGACCCGCCACACGACGACCTGCCACACGACGACCCGCCACACGACGACCCGCCACACGACGCCCCGCCACACGACGACCTGCCACACGACGACCTGCCACACGACGCCCCGCCACACGACGACCTGTCACACGACGACCCGCCACACGACGACCCGCCACACGACGACCTGCCACACGACGACCTGCCACACGACGACCTGCCACACGACGACCTGCCACACGACGACCTGCCACACGACGACCCGCCACACGACGACCCGCCACACGACGACCTGCCACACGACGACCTGCCACACGACGACCTGCCACACGACGACCTGCCACACGACGACCCGCCACACGACACCCTGCCACACGACGACCTGCCACACGACGACCTGCCACACGACGCCCTGCCACACGACGCCCTGCCACACGACGACCTATCACACGACGACCCGCCACACGACGACCTGCCACACGACGACCTGCCACACGACGCCCTGCCACACGACGACCTGCCACACGACGACCTGCCACACCACAGATATCGGAATAATATAAAATATCATTACATTAAAGTTCCTTGAAATGCGGGGCTGAGGAGCTAAGGTCCGACTGTGCCAACACACGGAGGGGAGGGGGTGAACAACTACACAAGCGCCCACAAAAGGAGTACCATACCCCGCCGATGTTCCTAACTAAGAAAATGGGATCTTTTATGCAGTTGTTCCCGCGGGAATGTCCCGCCCCGTGAATTGGTCTCATTCGTGCATTAATGAAAGTTCGATTTTCGAGGGGGAAGGAATGAGTGGTAAAAAGTAATTGAGTATTTTTTAATTAAAATGGTCTGTTTTCTTTCAAAAATAAAAAAAACAGAGTTTTTGCCCCCTACTTCTACTTCCTATCTCTCCCTTCCTCCCCCTCCCCCACCCCAAGCACACACACAGAGAGGTCTGTGTGTGTGTGTTGGGGGATATCTCTCTCTCTCTCTCTCTCTCTCTCTCTCTCTCTCTCTCTCTCTCTCTCTCTCTCTCTCTCTCTCTCTCTCTCCTCTCTCTCTCTCTCTCTCTCTCTCTCTCTCTCACCAGTCAACAGTTACCGGAGCTGGGAGCCAGGACACGAATCACTTGTGTTATCTTCCCTTTTTGGGGTGGATAACACAGCTTCCGTTCGTTGTTATCCTCCTCTTCGTCTTCTCTACTACTACTTTATCCCTCTCCCTTACTCTGCCCTACCTCTCCTGTTCTTATTTATCCCATACATGCCTAGCCTGCCTCTACCTCTCTCTCTCTCTCTCTCTCTCTCTCTCTCTCTCTCTCTCTCTCTCTCTCTCTCTCTCTCTCTCTCTCTCTCTCTCTCTCTCTCGTCCAGACACCCTCTGGGCTCATGGCATTACTGGTGAGTGTTGTATATTTAAATTGGAACATTAACTATGCAACCTAAACTGTCGTAGGCTTAAATAAATTATCCTTGTCCTAATACACGCCATCTTAGGCCTAATTTAGCACATATGCATGCTATACTAGGTCTAGGAAAGCTTAGGTTTGTTTGTTTCCTTCTTTTCTCTCGTGCCCTCTACAAAATTAACAGTATAAAAAGTTATATTTTGGGGTATAAGAGTTCATTTGTTTACGTTGGACCAAAAACTGCTTTAAGTACTCTCATTTTGGGTGACAGTTTGTACGTGTCACTATGGACTGGTCGGTAAAACACTCTTTAACAGGTTGACGTTCGATCCTCAATATTTCTATCTATCTATCTATCTATCTATCTATCTATCTATCTATCTATCTATCTATCTATCTATCTATCTAAGCTCCTCTATCCCAGCTTCGGTCCTATCCTTCCCTGTGATATATACTCACACAGTCTCTAAGCTAAGCAGTTTACATTTGCGGTGAGCTGGTTTCACAATCTGATTGGCTTATGCATAATACCCCTCCCCCCCCACCCCACCCCCCACCCTCCAGTGGGCGCCTCAGACGCCCGTACAAACCCATTGTGCACACTTCTGGGCTAATGGGTAGGTCGTCTAACTGAAAACTGTATCTCGCACCTGTCACCATCAACACATTGCGCAGCATCTGTAACACCGACTACGTGATGGGTGCCTGTGGCGTAGTGGTTACCACACTTCGCTTCGCAGATAATAGAACTTAGGTTCGAATCCTTGGAGAGAGGCGAGACGATTTGCGTACCGTTACTGTGCCCCTTCAACCTCGTTCTGACAGTTCCTGCCACGGCGCTGGAAGCAACCGTATTGGCGTTTGCCTTTCCATTGGAGACTCGGCGCCGTGGAGAGAGGGGGACCTGCTGCATGGGTAACAGCTTCTCCTCCATATCAACCTACCCTGGCTTTGAGCCCTGGAGAGGCCACTCCTGACCGACAACCAGAGCGCAACTCCATCGTCTCCTAAGACTCATGGATGACTACTAGTACTATTACTACTACTTCTACTACTACTGTGCACTTAACAGTAACTGTGGACCAAGATATAAATTAAATGTCGGATTGTGTTCTGGGGTTCACGACCAAGGACCACATCCACTCCAAACATCTACCACTTACGGGCTATTCATGCCCGTGCCACCTCTTGTGGTGGATTAATCTTCGTCAATCAATCGTGTTCTAGGGGAGAACTTTGCAAACAGAAGCTTGAAGACAGTTCCGCCTCCTACCCAACCACTTGGATTTAATCGGTAAAACGACGGCCTCGCTTTCGGTAAGTCGGCGTTCGACCTCCGACGGTATAAGTGGTTGGGCACTGTACCTTCCCTCTATGCTATCCGAGATCCTTGACCTCGTACCCCCTCCCGGCTGTAACCCGTTCTCCTAATAGAACGTCGCATTTTGACGTATACGACTCGCGAAAGTGACATACTGTCCCGTTTTCTGTTTTGAGGGTCGTTTGGTAGGTTAGAAGAAGAGTACTTTAGTACGACTTTTTTTGACGATGGGAAAATCTTAGCAGGACGGCCTGGCTACCTTTCCAGTCGTATTGGCCTATGGTTTTCTCCTCATAATTACCTTACGTTACAAGCCCTTGTATCCCGAGTGAGAATGGACGAACGGGTGAGATTCACCCCCTTCACGAACGCCTAAGATCCGACTGCACGAGGAAGCTAGATCCGGCTCTACCAGAACGGGACTTAGAGAGTAAATAACGCAGGTTGACAGCTGGGCGGAGCACTTGTGCAAGGCTCCGTGAGTCTCTGGACAACTATAGTGTTCATCATGAACATCGTGGGGGACACGATGTTGATGTTCACGACGGATGTATGTTCACGACGCGTGAACATCCAGATGTGCCTATAACTTGTCGGTGTATATATATACTTAAAGTTTACTTTAGTCTTGGACTAATTTGAGACTAAAGTATACTTACTGGTTGGTCAGAAAGCAATTGTGGTGGTCTCAAATCCTCCAGAGGTTTATGGGCCTTAAGCCCAATGCCACACTAAGACCAACACATCATCATTGGCCTACAGGTAAGTCCAAACGGGGGGGGGGGGTAAATGTAAATATTATAACAAAGTGGTAACTTTGCACTGGACGGGGGAGCGTGGAGTTCTCAAGTCCACTTTGGTGTGTTCGGTGTGGTGGTGGTTGGAGGGGGGGGGGGGGGCTGAGGGGAGCTCCACTGCCTCCTTCCATTATCGTGACGCCAGGCCTCGCTCGGCGCCAATTTTTAAATGGCCAGACGTCAAGGAGCCCTCCCGGATGTTGGACCAGGTGGCGTGGGTCCATTTTGGACCAGCTGGCCTGGGTCCATGTTGGACCAGCTGGCCTGGGTCCATGTTGGACCAGCTGGCCTGGGTCCATGTTGGACCAGCTGGCCTGGGTCCATGTTGGACCAGCTGGCCTGGGTCCATGTTGGACCAGCTGGCCTGGGTCCATGTTGGACCAGCTGGCCTGGGTCCATGTTGGACCAGCTGGCCTGGGTCCATGTTGGACCAGCTGGCCTGGGTCCATGTTGGACCAGCTGGCCTGGGTCCATGTTGGACCAGGTGACGTGGGTCCATGTTGGACCAGCTGACGTGGGTCCATTATTTTCCTGCCAATATTATTTAAAGATATTCCACAATCATTAAAAATCAATGAAATATATATATATATATATATATATATATTATATATATATATATATATATATATATATATATATATATATATATATATATATATATATGTCGTACCTAGTAGCCAGAACGCACTTCTCAGCCTACTATGCAAGGCCCGATTTGCCTAATAAGCCAAGTTTTCCTGAATTAATATATTTTCTCTAATTTTTTTCTTATGAAATGATAAAGCTACCCATTTCTTTATGTATGAGGTCAATTTTTTTTTATTGGAGTTAAAATTAACGTAGATATATGACCGAACCTAACCAACCCTACCTAACCTAACCTATCTTTATAGGTTAGGTAGCCGAAAAAGTTAGGTTAGGTTAGGTAGGTTAGGTAGTCGAAAACAATTAATTCATGAAAACTTGGCTTATTAGGCAAATCAGGCCTTGCATAGTAGGCTGAGAAGTGCGTTCTGGCTACTAGGTACGACATATATATATATATATATATATATATATATATATATATATATATATATATATATATATATATATATATAAATTGCGATTTGTATTTTATATTACTGCACATAATCTTTGTAAATGTACATTAATAACACAATGTAAAAGACACATCGATTACTTTATGTAGGGCAGACGTAACTCTGTGTATCTATCTGTCTATATATTTATGTCTGTAGGTTAGATTAGCATTTTAAAATGCTAAGCTAACCTACATACGTAAATACATAGATACACAGATTTACGTATGCCCTACATAAAATGTTCGATGTGTCTTTTACATAGTGTCATTAATGTGCATTTACAAAGGTGAAATGTAATTCTGATCAGCTTCCATATATACTTTATACACATACATATACATACACACACACACACACACACACACACACACACACACACACACACACACACACACACACACTACTACACATAGTAGTAGTAGGAGGCTACAAGATGACCTAGACAGACTGAGTGAATGGTCCAACAAATGGCTGTTGAAGTTCAACCCGAGTAAATGCAAAGTAATGAAACTAGGTGGTGGAAATAGGAGGCCAAACACAGGATACAGAATAGGAGATGAAGTACTTAATGAAACGAACAGAGAGAAAGATCTAGGAGTTGATATCACACCAAACCTGTCTCCTGAAGCCCACATAAAAGAATAACGTCTGCGGCATATGCGAGGCTGGCTAACATCAGAACAGCGTTCAGGAACCTGTGTAAGGAATCATTCAGAATCTTGTACACCACATATGTAAGACCAATCCTGGAGTATGCGGCCCCAGCATGGAGCCCGTACCTTGTCAAGCACAAGACGAAGCTGGAAAAAGTCCAAAGGTATGCCACTAGACTAGTCCCAGAACTAAGAGGCATGAGTTACGAGGAAAGACTGCGGGAAATGCACCTTACGACACTGGAAGACAGAAGAGTAAGGGGAG